CAGGGCTGGTGTTCTATCCATTGTGCCATCTAGCTACCCCTATTAATTGTCTTTTTATAATTCTGTTCCCTCTTTTCTTTACATAGTTTTTCCTCTACCACTCTTACTTGATTTTGGAAGTCATTTTTTAGCTCTTCAAGGAATTCTTGTTGGGCTTACGTTCAATTCCTATTTCTTTCTTTGGGGCTTTGCATGTAACTGTTTTGACATCATTTCTTCTTCTAAGTTTGTGTCTTGATCTTCCGTCACCATGGTCAGGGTCTTTTTTTTTTCTCCTGTTTGCTTATTTTCCCAGCCTATTTCTTGACTTTGAACCTGTTCCTGGTGGGGTGTGGGGGGAAGGAATGGCACTGTCCCAAGCTTCAGGCCCTTTTTTGCCCTGCTCTTTGCAGAGCTAGTTCTGGGAATTTGGAAGTTTTCTGTGCTTCTCTGGTGGTATCACAGTTCTTTTGGACTGCATTCTGGTCCTTACCTAGGAAAGGCCCCTGCTCTCTTGTGACTGGAAGTGTTTCTCTCTGCCCATGAACTGTGACCTGGAATTGAATGTAGGCAATGGAGTTGCCAAACAGCCTCTAGTCCTTTTAAAATTGTCTGGAGGGAGGGCTGGGCCCAGTGCTTCTTCTGCTCCGTCATCTTGGCTCTGCCCCTGGGATTTGTCCCTTGAAAGTTTTTGAAGAGGGAAATGACATAGGTGATCAGGTCAGCTGTGTGATGCTGCGGTTATGAGGGGAGAGACTGTTGTTAGAGAGGGCAGTCAGGTGTCTGGGAGAGAGGATGAGGCCCTGGATTATTAGAGGGGCAGCCCTATGAAGGGGGAGCAAGGAGAGGATAGAAGAGAGATTGGAGAGGTGGAACCTTGGGATCTTACATTGTAAGGGATTGGGGTGAGGTCATGGGTGAGTCCCTGGTTGATGACCTGGAGGGTGGAGCTATAGAGGGAAGATGAGTTGAGGGCGTGGTGGTGGTGGTGGTGGGGAGATACATTTCCTGCCCTTGTCCTGAGGGTCACTTCTCTGGGAGAGAGTCACAGTACCCTAGGACATTTGATCCCCACCCCCCTCACTTTGCCTAGCTTGTCCTCTCTGCTTGTGTTCCCCTCATTTGGAGGAAACAGTCGGATTTTCTGGGCTGGAGCTGGACCTTGTTCCCAGAAAGCTTCTGGGTGCGGCCTAGCTGTCCAGATCAGGGCTTCTCTAGGTCCTTGGGTTCCCTGGGCCTTCTGCAGCCCTCCTAAGCACGGTCCTGTCCCCAAACATCCTGCCTTTGCCTTGGTGGGAATCCTAGAGATATCTGGCCAATATGTCCAGTGGTGACTGGGGACTCGAGGGATATCCATTCGTTCCAGAAGTGGGGCCAGCATGTCCCAGGTACCTACTTGACTTTTCCTGGGCATAGTTTTCTTCCACACCTGGCTGAGGCTTTTCCCACCCTACACTCCCCACGCATCTATCCTGTGTGTTGGTGGGCCTCTGAAGGACGCTGAAGGGAGATTTGCGTGGGGGGCATAAGCCAAGGGGAGGGGAGTGCTTCCAGTAATCCCCTGGGGGAGGGGGTTGCAGCCTCTGGCAATGGGTGGGCCAGCTGAGGAACAGCTTCAAGCTGGGTCTGTATCCAGAGCACCTGGGCCAGTCCAGAATAGGGTCCCCCTCAGAGGGACTGGCCAGTGAACTGAAGGAAGTGGGAGCTGGAGCTGCAGGGCTTGAACCCAGGGCCTCTGCCTTCAGAGTAAGGGCTCCTTTCTTTGCATCACTTGGGGGTCAGGCTTGTCTGGCAGACTAGACAGATTTAGGCCTGGGGTGCAAGAGATCTTTTGCTTCTGGAAAGAACTGGCCAGAAGCTGACAGTTAGAGGGGTTTGCGAGGGGCTCCAGCCCTCCTACCCTCGACCCTAGGCCAGATGGGGGCTCCCGGTCCTGAGGTTGTGACAATATTGTTAGCCATAGGGATAAAGAGGAGGCAACCAGAGAGAGGCTCCTATGTGGCAGGCTCAGTGCTGGGTGTGGTGGAAATGAGCGGTCCTCCCTCCCCTCAGGGAGTTTATATTCTGGGGAGAAGACAAATTATGTTGTAAAGCACTGACCGAATTAACTGGTATTGGGGCTGAGGAGGTGTCCTGTATGGCAGAGGCAGAGGGGAGGAAGGAAGAGCCTTGTAGGCAAAGGTGTGAAGAGTGGAAATGAGGTGGTGGTGGTCAGCGGAGCAGACTGGCCTGCAGTGGGCAAGCAAGGGGGTCCCCAGTGTGGGCACCATCCTCTTTCATAGGGCGAGGGCCTTCCTTGCCATTATCTCCAGCTTACTTGTCTGCATGGGATCTTCCCCCACTACATTGGGAACTATAAAGTGAAAGGATCAGAAAGACCAGATGCCCCCTCGGCTTCCTTACATCTCTCCTCTGATGACCCTTAGCTTCCCCAGTGCAAGCCTTGGGGCTTGGGCTCCCACCAGCCTTATTTGGCATCCCTATGTGCCCTCTTGTCTCGATGCCAAGGGTCATGGTTCATGGCTCTCCCTGGACTTTGCCCCCCTGGAGGGTAGGCAGGGACTTATAAAAGTTCCCACCCTGCTTGTGAGATGATAATTGCGTTCAGCTGCCAAGGCGGTGCCCCCCCCCCCGAAGTGTTTGCCGGCTGTGTGGTGAGCCTGAGGGTTAAGCCTCGAGATGGTGTACTGAGACAGCAACTGGTGAAGGATTGGGGGTGTTGAGCTTGGCAAAAATGGCTAGGACAGGGTGACGTGAGAGCTGTGGTCAGATATTGGAAGAACTGTCATGGCAGAGAGAGATTGGCTTTGTTCCAATTGGCCCAGGAGGGACCCACTTGTGGGAGAAGCAGATTTGGGCTCGGTCCCAAGGGGGACGTCCTCGCCATGTGCGTTGTTCCAGAGTGGAATGGAGAGTGAGTGCCCTGGGAATGGAGGCTGACTGGCCGCTTGTTGGGAACATTTGCACAGAGGGTTTTATGCCCACGTAGGGCTACGTGAGGTGGTGCTGGAGAGGTTGCTCTGGGGCCCGTCCCAAAGGACCAGGCTGGAAGGTGGCTCAGAGCCAGACATCTAGGATTGGGAGGAAGACAGCACCCTGTGTCACCTGGGAGATCCTTTGGGCCTGTTTATCTATGTTGTGTGTCCCTAGGCCAAGCACAGTGCCTGGCACACAGCAGGTGCTTGACATGTGCTCATTGAATGAATAAGATAGAGTTAATGGGCTCTCAGCTTGCCCTGCTAGTGGGGCTCATTTCTGGAATGGTGTGGTCTCCCACATTCAAGAGGGAGGACGTGTGTCCTGTGAAGTCTGCGGAGCTGGTCGGTCACCAGAGCCATCAAAATGGGCTGCCCTGGGAGGAGGGAGCTCTCTGTCTCTGAAGGTCTGTGGTGGTGGCTAACCTAGGTGACCTCAGGAGGCTCCTTCTAGCCTGAAGATTCTCCAGGGCCCTGACTTAGGGACTAAGTGTGGGCCAGCCCCTTCCCGTTACCTTCATGGCGCTTCAGATCCCTTAGGAAGGGCCGTGCCTGTCCACAGTCAGGACACCCACGGGCTGGGCTGGGTGACCCTGGGCCAGTCACCTGTTCCTTCCTAAGACTTCTTAGGAGACACTAGAGCATACATGGGTTTGGCAGGGGCCTTGGAGGTCATGCAAGCTAAGTCCCTGTCTTCACAAAGAAGGAAACTGAGCCCTAGGGTGCAGAACTAGCTTGCCCCACGGTGACATGGGGAAGCACCAGAGGTAAGATTTGAACTCAGGTCCTCCGACTGCAGCATCAGGACTCTCTCCATTGCACCATGATGTTTCTGCATCAGCAGAAGGAAGTTCCCCACAGGGATACAGTCGGAGGTCCGGAAGCAGCCACCATGTTGTCTCTAAGCCAGCTCTCCCTCTCAGCTGGTGGCCCCCTTGACTCCCTCCCAGGCTGTCCACACCTGCCTCCACCTCCGGGTCTCCACAGCCTGTGTCTTCTTGCTTGGCCTGCTGTCAGGGCCTCTTCCTGCTTCTCCTGCTTCTAGTTTCACCCCTCTCGTTCCCACCTGGCCGAGTGATGTCCTTCCTCTAGGCCTCAGGGCTTCCCCACTGCCTGGAGCCCATAACATGAAGTCTTACTGTGGTGTTCCAAGCCGTCCCCAGTCTGTCTGCAGCTTCTCTGTCCAGGCTGGGCTCGGGCGGTTCCCCTTCACATTCTCCATATTCAGGCCAAACTGGGTTCTTTTCTTTCCCTCGTCTGCAGCCCTAGGCACCTAGGTGGTCCAGTGGTTAGAGCCTCCCTAGTCCTGGAGCCAGGAAGACTTGAGTTCAAACCCAGCCTCAAACTCTGTCTGTGTGACTCTGGGCAAGTCACTTCACTGACATCTGCCTGTTTCCTTCTGTGTAAAGTGGGGAGAAAGACAGCCCCTGCCTCCCAGGTTGTTGGGAGGATCAATGAGATCCTGGTTATGAAGCAGCGGGCATATAGTAGGCGCCTAATGAGTGTTGGTTCCTACTCCTTCCTGAGGCAGCTTCCGTCCTTCAGGCTCAGGCGACAACCCCACCCCCGTGCCCTAAATCTAACCGTGCAGCCTCAAGTCGGGTGCTGCCCCTTCTTCCTCCTTCCTCCCTTCTGGGAGCCGGAGCTGTGTGCTGGCTTCCTTTGTGCCTGTGGGTGGGCACAGCTCACTGACCTTCCCTGCCTGTCGCATATTGCCAGTTGAGGAGGGGCAGACTGTTTTTTAAGGTCCTCAGGGGGCCAGGAGATGGGGCCATTCCAGACCAGAAGCACTGTGCCCGGCTCAGCCAGTGGTCCCAGGGGCTTTTATGCAGCTGGGGTGAGCCCCAAGGGCTGTGCAGGCTTGGCCTGGGCCTGGAGGGTGGCAGTTGGGGGCCTTACTGATTCCTGGAGTGAGGCCAGCCTGTTTGGGGAGGGCCAGGCCTGCTGGGACATGGCCTCTGCTGCTGCATTCACTGTCTGGCTCAAGGTTTGAACCCGCCCCCAGGTAGCCCCAGAACTGAGCACCCTTTTCTGTCCTCCCTATAGGTGGTAGTCCTCTGGACAGCCCCCGGAATTTCTCTCCCAATGCTCCAGCCCCACACTTTTCCTTCATTCCTGCCCGCAGGTAAGTTAGCACAGGTTGTGGGGAGGATGCTCATGGGCCAGACTCTGTTGGTGCCCTGCCCCGAGAGGGTTGTCCTAGCTGGCATTGGTTGGGCTCCACTCTGGTGGCACTTGCCTCCTCTCCCTTGGGCCAGGGCAAAACCGAGTGGCCCTGTTTGAACCCAGTGTTGGCATGTCGTGAGCCCCAGCATGGAACCCTTCCTTACAGGATCATCGCAATAACTCTGGGTGCTGGCCAGAGTAGAACCTTGCATGTCCACTGATCCCATGTTGCCTTGGAGACCCCAGCCCTACAGGGCACCACACCTTCCCTGTTCGGTCCTCTCCCTCAGGGTCTGCCCCACACTGTACCCCCTCAGACCGCTCTTCCTGGCTGCTTCAGTCCTTGAGTGGATGGGCCCAAGGCCATCAGCTGCTCTAGGCTTCCCCTCCCCAGTCTCTGCAGCAGGACGGTGCCTCCAGGTCCTCCCAGGTCCTTGGGCCGGGGAACCAGGCCCTTTGTTCTTTTGGCCACACATGACACCTCAGGTCCAGGGCAGGAGTGTGGCTCTCTGGGGTGGGGATGTGGCCTCACTGGCTGTGTGCAGACCTCTGGTTTGCCTTGGTTCTCATTCCTCTGTCCAATCTCTCCCCTGCAGCCATGGACACAGAGCAGACAGGTAACCTGGGGGCATCTGGGGAACAAGTGAATTGGCCTGGTCAGTTGAGTTCCTGTGGTGGGGGATGGGGTAGGGGAGGTGAGACATAGCCATCTGCCCAGTCGAGTCCTTGAGTCTCACCTGAGAAGACTGGCAGGGCTCCCCCCATTCCCTCCCAAAGAGGCTCTCTGCCAGCAGCTGGTACCCTGGGTTCAAATCTCTGCTGTGCCACTTGTGACAGAGACACCTCTAGTGAGGCTCTTGTCCTATTTGGACTTTTCTTCCCTCATCTGTAAAGTGGGAGCATTGGACCAGCTAAGATCCTGGCCAGCTCTAGGTGGAAGTCTCGGGGTTGTTGGAGAGGCCAGTGGCCAAAGGCACTGCCCCCTGCCCAGACCCTGTCTCCACTTTGGAGACCTGTCTGCCATGACCCTGTACGCCCCCCCTTCTTAGGTCAGCTTCCTAAAGGTGGACTGGTCCAAAGTAGGCTTTGAGATCTTCCCCCTCCCCTTTGTAGGGACCTTGTGTGGAGCGTGTTAGTGCTTGTCTATCCTTGAGCTGTGTGGCAGGGCTGGAGGCAGCAGCTGGATGGCAGGCAGGGCCAAGGGCAAACTCATCTGCGCCTGCTGGATGCGCAGGCCTTGCCACCTGCCCTGGCCTGACGACCTGGACCCTTGCTCCCACGGGTGGGTGCATCGTGGATCCTGGTGTGGGCTGGTGGAACATGACGGAGCATGCAGAGAAGGGGAACTTGGGCTGATCCTTCTGTGTAAACACTGAGGATGCTTCTCTCAGGGGACCCTTCCCACTGTGATTAGCAGCTGCACCATTTTTCCCCTCTCTGAGCAGCAGTGGCCAGTGTGTCCTAGTGCTCACGTCAGGCGGGGCTGAACCTCAAGGGCCAAGGCTGTGCGAGGCATCTGGAAGGAGGGAGGGAGCAGGGCCGGCAATGATAGGAATGCAGCCTGATCTCCCTCTGCCTATGACTCATTCTACTCCATTCAGGCCCCCTGGTGGCCCAACACACGGGGCTTTGGGGGGATACCACGGGGATCCTCAGGGGTCAGTCCTTCCTGTGTTCACTGAAATGAGGACTGTTCCCCTCTGTTTGGGGTGTGGGGAAGAGCTCTGCCCTGTTGAGTCATGCTCAGGGGACCCTCGGTCCCCTCTGGGCCTCAGCATCCTCTTCTTCAGCTCTGACTCCCGTGGTCCTCCTGGATGCCCTTGCCGTGGCCCTGTTCTGCCTGTTGGCTTTTCACTGTTAGGTGCATACTCCCCACCCTGAATTGGGAAGGGCAGATGACAGTGGTTGCCACAGAGGTGGTGACAGACAGGGGTGCCGTGTGGGGAGCAGGGAGCAGACCCTCAAGTGGCGATGGTGCCTCCCCAGGAGCCACCCGTGGTGGGCATGACAGAACAGGAGGTGCTGGTGCAGTCTGGACTGATTCAGACCGAGCATCCTGCTGGTTAGCTGCTGGTCTTTGAGTCAGGGCCCAATGTGCCCAGGCCCCCACACTGAGCTGTGGGAGGCCTGGCTTCCTGGAGCCTCCTGGGCAGAGGCTCACGGAGCAGGGGTGCTGGCAGGGCTCCCTGGGCCCCCGAGCTTCCCAAGTGGTGTCTCACTGATGTGTCTCTGTCGCAGGACGGATGGACGGCGCTGGTCCTTGGCCTCTCTTCCCTCCTCTGGTTATGGCACCAACACCCCTAGCTCCACTGTCTCCGTAAGTCCCTAGACCGAGCTGCAGACCCAGGGCCCCGGGTGGGGGGGGGGTTCTCCAACCCCTGCAGCCTTCTCAGCTGTGGCTGTGAGGTAACACCCCTCAGCAGCAGATGGCAGGCCACTCTGGGGAGAGGCAAGCTTGGGCTTTTCTGAATGTGAGACAGGTCATTCCCTCAGGGCCATGGAAAGCCTTGGGACCCAGGGCGGGGCCAAGGAAGGAGGGCAGGCCTCGGGGGAGGAGGGAGGAGCAGAGATGCTACTTTGGGTGGGATGTGGGGAGTGAGAGTGGGAGGAACATGGGGAACCTTGGAGAGGTGTGTGGGAGCCATGCTGGGAAAGGCTTCAACGCGTAACTGAAGGCGTCAAAGCAATAGGGAGCCGCTGGAGCCTCTTGGGAAGGCAGCTGGGCGGTGCAGCAGATAGAGCAGTGGACCTAGAGTCGAGGACACTCCAGCCTTAGGCACATCCTAGCTGTGTGACCCTGGGCAAGTCACTTCACCTCTGCCTCAGTTTCTTCATCTATAAAATGGGGATATTAATAGCACTTTCTTCCCGGGTTGTTGTGAGGCTCTAATGAGATGATAATTATAAAGCCCTTAGCACAGTGCTTGGCATATGGTAGGTGCTCTATAAATGTTAGCTTCTATTGTGCCTGTTCTTGAACAGGACAGTAACATGGTCAGGCTTGACCTTTAGGAAAGTGACCTTCAGCACTGTGTGTGGGATGAACTGGAGAAAGACAAAAGCTGAACCAGCGAGAGCAATGGGAAGGCCAGTGGCCTAGCTCAGGAGAGAGGTGCTGAGGGGCTGGGGCTGGGGCTGCCGTGTGATTAGCTCTGGGGGTGAGGGGGGCCCCCGAGGCCTGGGACCTGTGAGGATAGTCTGGGGAAGTCTGAGACAGGGCAAGCTGGAGAGGACAGAGTTCTGCTTTAGACATATTAAATGAGAGACAGAGACAGAGAGTAAGACAGACAGACAGACAGACATCCCAGACAGGAAAAGAGGATGGCGGATGGCTGGAAGACCTACCTGGTGCCCAGAGCCCCACATGCGGGGCCACTCTTCTCCCCGTGGGAGGAGGCCAAGGAAGCCTGGCAGCTCCGCCGGGGAAAGAAGAGGGACCAGAGAAGGCAGAAGAAAAGCAGACAGTGCCCAAGCAGGCAGAGCAGTAGAGAAGGTCACAAAGGCAGGAGGAAGCATGAGGAAAGCCTTTGAGGGGAACCGAAGAGCATTGAACAAATGAAAGTATAGGAGAGCAGGTAACTCAGACTTGAGTGCTGAAGGACAGACTCCCAGGAGCCCTGCAGAGATTAGGGAACAGAAACCCCAGGATGATCCACAAGAGAAATACAGCTCGTGAAGGAAGGAGTGGGACCGACTTCAGAGCAGAAAGTGGAGTTCTCAGAGCCAAGTAGTAGAAACGTGGGATGTGGGATGTGGCCCCTCTCCCCGGCAGGAGATGGGGAAAGGAAGGCGGTCTGGAAGAGGGAGGCAGGAAGGTCACATGCATTCTGTGCAGCCAGAGGCAGCCTGAGGCCTGTGGTCTCCCAGAAGAACCTGACTTTAGGAAGTAACACGAGAATGTGTCCGGCCCAAAGGGGAGTGCCTGGGTTGACTTTGTGCCCCCCTTAGAAGTTTGGAAACCCAAATGTAATGGCCCAGGAGGCTGCAGAAGGGGAGTCATTCCTACAGCTCAGGCCTGAGGCCCCTGCACACCTGTATAAGCCATGTGGGACCCTCTGGAAGGAGCCTCGTGGGGAGGCCTTGTTTAGCTTCTCCCCCCTCACATTTCCCATGCGTGCTGGGCTTGGCATCCGCACGTCAGCCTTGGAGAAGCTGAGTCAAAGCTTGAACCTAAGAAACCACTTACTGGGCTGCTTCCCAGGCTGCTGAGGGTTTGGGTGGCCGGTGTGTACAGCTGAGGATAGTCAGGGCCCTGTGGCCTGGGGGTGCAGGGCTGCTGTGGCCTGGGGCCCACAGCTTCACCGTCTGAGTGGGCTAGTCTAGAGAAGGGAGGAACACCAGTCTGGGGGGAGCAATGGTTGTGAGGATGATGGCTCCTGATAAAAGAGAAAGAGATGTTGGGCTCCATGGGAAGGTGGACTGAAGAGCAGCCTGGCTGTTCCACCCCACGGTGTGGCCCCAGGAAGCCACGTATGAGCTACAGCCTGAGCAGTCGGGACTTGAGCGTTCCCAGAGGAGCCGGGCCCTGGGCTTCCTTGAAGGCAAGACCCTGGAGGGGCAGTGGAATCTGTGACCCCAGGGAGAGGCAGCATTGGCCAGAGGAGACCTTTGGGGCTGTCACTGGGCTTGTTGCTTCAGTCTCTAGACTATGATGAGGCTTCAGGCGGCTCAGATCAGAAGCGCAGGATGCCCAGCTTTCCTGGTTTCCCCTCATGAAGCTGAAAGGGCCATAACGACCCTTGGACTGGGGGGCAGCGGAGGAAGGGAAGCCTGCACCTAGAGGGCTGGGCATCGGCAAAGTCAGCCCAGGGGTGCTGCCCTCACCTGTCATTTGGATCCCTGAATTACTGGGCAGCATTCGGAGTTCCCCGTGGTCTTCAAGGCAGACCCTTTGGCCCCAAGGCTAAAAATACCTCCTTTTCCCACTGGGCTCCATTGGCCACTGCCATATCCCTATCCCAGGCAGCCATGATCGCCCAGTCTCCCTCTCCTCTCCCCCAACGTAGGACAGCTGTCCCCCTCCAGCAGCCAAAGGAAATCCCCTGCAATGGGCATGCTGCCCAGGGTAAGGCTGGGAGGGTGGGGGTGACTGTTGGCGGGCAGGCACCGCAGCCGACCCTTGGCCTGGCCGGACACAGAGAGACGGCAGCCAGGGCAGTTCTGCTGGGAAGGTGCCAGCGCCACTCTTGTGCCTATCTCCCCCATCACCCGTCCCCTTCCTCCACTTTGGCCTCACGAGTAAGTGCTCCGCCTCAGAGGCCCCCAGGCTGGACAGGTGTCTGGGCTCTTGGACAGGGGCTTCCTAGGACTGCTTCTCTGGCGTCCTGGCAGGGGACTGGGGGCTTGAAGAGCCTGCACTGACCTCTCTTGTTCTTGTCCTCAGTCATCCTGCTCCTCCCAGGAGAAGCTGCACCAGCTGCCCTTCCAGCCCACGGCGGACGAGCTGCACTTCCTGACGAAGCATTTCAGCAGCGAGAGCGTCCCGGACGAGGAGGGCCGCCGGTCGCCAGCCATGAGGCCCCGCTCACGCAGCCTCAGGTGGGTGCCCTCTTCGGCTGGGGTTCTGGCCCCTGCCTCATCCCAGGTTCTCTGACCCGCTCCTGGGCCTCCTTGAAGCAAGTGGCTCCTGGGGTCTGGAGGAAGGACCTGGAGAAGTGAGTCAGCTTGGGCTTTGTTCTTCCTCGCTGCCCTTCCTCCTGCAGGGCTGGCTGCCCACTGGAAGGCAGAACACAGTCAGACTTGGGCCGAGGGGCTGTCAGCCTTAGTGTAGCTTCTGGGCCAGACCTGGAGATCTGACACCTCGGTGACCCGTGCGTCCTGCCGTTTGGCTGTGGCATGGAGGGTCTGTGGGGGCCTGTGCATGGGGTAGGGGGTGGGGAGGCATATCTAGGAGTCCCAGAGTCCCCCACATGCCCTGGTGCAAATCCGTACATACATTCACTCTTATACACAGACCCACACACTCATGTGGACATTTAAACCCGCACCCATGATCTCACACATTCTCATGCACTCAGCAACTGATATGCATACATACATGCATGCACACACGGTATCATACATATATTATAGGCGCAGGTTTGCTCCGGGGCTAATGTGGCTTTTCTTCATGCGAAGACCTTTCTTGGGTTATGAGCCAGACTGTCAGGGGAGGAGCTGCAGGTGCGCACCTGCCCTCTGAGACCGGGCCTGGCTTTGTCCTGAGGAAGGGTCTGGCCTGGTTGGGGGCATGGATCTAGTCACCCCAAGGCCACAGCCTTTGCCATCTTCAGGGAGGAAGAAGTGGGAGGGTTGCTGCTCCCGTCCCGCCAGGTGCTGGGCTGCTGTACTCAGGATGGGTTTCGCCTCTGGACGCTGGTCTGTGTACTTAAGGGAAGGGCAGCTGCGAGGCCCTGGCCTCATTAGTCTGAATGGCCCACAGCCCAGTGGCAAAACAACCTTCGCCTTCTCTTTCAGCCCTGGCCGCTCCCCAGTCTCCTTTGACAGTGAAATAATAATGATGAATCATGTGTACAAAGAAAGATTCCCCAAGGTAAGGTGCTGCTTGGGGGGCCTGAGGAGGGCGTGAGTCAGGAAGTGTTTATTAAGCACCACTGTGTGCCAGGCACTGTGCTAAGGGCTGGGGCACTCTGGGAGCTCCCAGTCTAACAGGGACAGCATGCAGACAGCTAGGTCTGACTAAGACACGGACAATGCGGTGGGCACTCGTGTCAAGAGGGAAGGCCCTGGCCATCACTGTGGGGCTGGGAAGGGCTATGCGCAGAAAATGGGAGGAGGCGGAGGGGAGAGGAGAGAGAAGTCCAGGCATGCATGAGGGCCGGCCAGGGAAGAAGCCGGGAAGTCCAGAGATGGAGAAGACTGGACAGGGTCTCTCGATGCCAGCATCCTCTGCTGATGAGCCAGAGAAGCTTGGGCCAGTGGGCACACACTGGGCTCCTGGTGACCAGGAAGAGGAGACGTGGGGCCATCGGGCACCCCTCAGGGACTTCAGCTGTGTGGTGCCTACGTTCTCCCTCCTGTGACAAACCTAAGGACTTGTCAAGATGATGGTGAAGGTGGCGATAATGGAAGAATCATCGCATCTGCCAGGGCTGTGTTCCCACCAACGTTACAAAATGATCGTTCCCATTTCTCTAGCACTTTGAAGCACTTATCACATGTTAACTCATTTGATCCTCATGACCACCCGAGGAGGCGCAGGTGCTGTTATTATCTCCTTTTTACAGAGGAGGAAACTGAGGCAAACAGAAGTTGAGGCATTTGCCCAGGGTCATGCAGGTAGTGAGCATCTAAGCTGATTCAGTCTTGGGCTGAGGCTTCCGGACCAGGGAGAGGATGCTCCTGCTCAGCTCTTCCCTGATGCTGGTTGACTTGCCTCCCTGGCTGCCATATTTTTCAGAGGATAGTGATAAGCTAGAGACTGTGCAGAGGAGGTGCCCAAGATGGTGAAGAGCCTGAAGTCTGGGCCTTTGGAGGGTAAGGGATGTGCTTACCCTGCGGGGATCAGATGAGGAACGAGGGGGATATTGGATAGGGCAGTTCTGATGGGCAGGGCGAAGCAGGGTGAAGCGGGGTGAGGCAGGGACCCAGCTCTCACCATTGTTCCTAGAAGTCTGGCTCCAGGCTCCAAGCTGGGCAGGGCGAAAGAGGAAGCCCCAAAGGATTCCTGCCTCCCCGGACCCCGCCCTAACTGGGCCCTCCTGTCTGAGAGAGAGGACCCCATGGTTCAGGCACACGCACAAGCGGAGGGGCTTCTGTTGAGGGTGATGCTGCATGGATAGCAGACCAGACAGAGGAGACTGGGTGACCTTTGCTCAGAAGGCCTCCTCATGCCTTCTGAAGCCCATGGCGGGCCCTTCCTCCTGGGATGGGGTCCTAAACTCTGACTTCCAGCAGATTGGTGGGGTGTAAGGCTAGGATAGATCTCTTGTAGCACCTATGGTCCAGCCACTTTCATTTAGGCAGCAGGACACCTGAAAAGGGTCAGGTAGAGGTGGGGGGTGTTTCAGTGGTCTGCAAGCTTGAGATGAGTTGGGGCGGGGGCGGGCCTCAGTGGTCTGTAAGTTCGAGGTGAGTCGGGGGTGGGGTCTCAGTGGGGCGATGTGGCAGCCAGCAAAGCCGAGGCAGCCTTGGTCCAGCTGGCCAGGGGAGGAGGGTGGCTCCCAGGCTCTCCTCTGCCCTGGTTTGGGAACTTTTGGGCACTGCTGGACAGCCTAAGCAGTGTGGAACTGGAGAGACCTCAGTGGAGGAAAGCAGGGTCCAGAGAATCTGTTTGAGCTGGAACCAGTGGCCTCAGTTTACCCAGTTGTAACTTTGAAAAGTTCTAAGTAGAAGACTACCTGGGAATAGCCCTCCAGGTAGGTCCTGGGGATTAACAAGCTGTGTGCTATAGCAGAAGTGTAGGGCAGTCTGGCAGACGGAAGGTGCCAGCATTAAGAAGGACCAGGAGAGGCCTCCTCACGGCCAGGCAAGGAGAGGCTGCAGAAGAGATTGAAGCGAGGGAAGTGAGAGAGGTGACCCACCCGAGAACCTTCCTCAGGGACCTGAGAGGAAGCAGCCCAGGAAGCAGAACCCAGGAGCCACCACGCGACGTTACAGAGAGGCCAGCAGGGGCTCAGGGTGAAGGGGCTGCCCGGGCAGGTGCTCTGGGCTGGCTGCTGGGGACATCTGGCATCGAGACAGAAGGAAGCCATTCTCGCCTGTGTGGAGCCGACGGTCTGACTCTGTGTGTGTGCAGAGGCTCCCCAAAGTCATATGGCAGCTGCAAGCTGAGAACCCCTGTCCATACCTGTAGAGCCAGGATATGGAGCCGTGGCTGGAAGGGAGCTAGCACTTCCTGACAGAGCTGTGCATGGTGGGCCTGGGGTCAGCCATGAGAAATGGAGGGGTGGCGGGTGTGGCCCTGGCCCCTTGTCCAGGTGCAGCTGGGATGGGTGACCCTCACCCCTCATCTGCCCTTATGGCTTCTCCTTTCTGGCGCTGGCACTCCTTGCTATCCTGCCTGTCCTTCTGCCAATGCTAGGTGGTCCCAAGTGCTCTCTTTGCTCCTAGGCCACGGCGCAGATGGAGGAACGGCTGGCAGAGTGTATAGCCTCGAATGCTGCTGAGAATGTGCTGCCCTTGGCGGACGGGGCCCTGAGCTTCATCCACCACCAGGTCATTGAGCTGGCCCGGGACTGCCTGGACAAGTCTCGCGATGGGCTCATCACCTCCCGCTACTTCTATGAACTTCAGGAGAATTTAGAGAAGCTTCTGCATGATGTGAGTGCCCTGGCCCTGGGGCCTCGCTCTGCTTGGGCCTCCAGGCCATAAGGTGGAGGGTTTGGAGGGCGGGGTGCCTGGTTCTCCAGAGGCCAGAGAGAGGAAGGGAACCCTCTGCTCACCAAGGTCTCACAGGTAAGTCAGCGGCCGTGCCAGGGTTCAGAGGTCACTGATCTTGACCCTGATCCCTGGCAAACCTAAAGGATGGCAATGAAATATTGAGAAAGACAGCCATGCTAGTGTAGGGCCTGAGAGGGAGCCAGAGCTTAGGCAAGCACTGGACAGAGGCTCCCCAGGAGGGCAGGAGAGTCGTGAGCTAGACTACAGGACACCTGGCCGACTGGCTAACCCACCCGACTGGCCATCCATAGCTCTCCGACAGGTCATAGGGAAGTGGCTCTGCTCTGCCTGGCCCTATGACAGATGACACCAAAAAGGACTTGTTAGGCTGGAGGCCTGAGCTGATTCTCCTAAGATGGGAATGGATGAGGATGATTCACTTCCCAGGGAACAGCCTTTGTTCTGAAAAAGCTCTGGGACCCTCAGTGGACCACAAGCTCATTCTAGGAGTTGGCAATGGGGTGTGGCCATCAAAAAAGATTGTGCCATGTTGCTGCATTATGAAGGACAAAGCTTGGAGGAGCTGGGAGACAAAGAGCTTCTGTCCTGTGCCCTGCTCCGCTGTAGCTGGAACACTGTCTTTGAGTTTAGTCCCTTTGTTTGGGGAAAGGGGTCCAGTCCCCCTCATGGTGGTGCCCAGGTTAGCCTGGAGAGGCTGTGGTCTGTGTTCACCGTGATGCCTCTTCTGCCATCCCCACCACACACACACACACACACACACACACACACACACACACACACACACACACACACACGGGAAGGGCTGCCTTCCCCAGACCCTCCCATGGTGCTCACCCCTGTTCTCTAGGCCCAGTAGCTGCTCCTGTCCCTGGCGGGGAGCTGGTGTCCAGGGAGGGCTTCTGAGGAGCCAGGGTGGCTGTGGTTCTGAGTATCAGCCCAGAGGAGTCAGGTGTGGCCTGGCCCATGGCACCCCTGAAGCAGCTCCAGTCAGATTAGAGGGAAATTGGGAAATCCTGGGCGGGACAGAGCAATGTGACATCTCACAACTGGGTCAGGATGTGGCCCCTGGGGATGCTCTGGTGCGCGTTGGGTCTCAAGGGGCTTGGGATGAGGCAGGATTAGCTGGTGTGGCTCCGGCTGCAGGTACTTAGGGGTGAAACATGTCGCTGCCATGTAGAAGGAAGGTAGAGCCCGGTGGGTCTCTGTGTCTGCGATCCTTGGCCAAGGCTCTCCCCATTTTATGGATGAGGTGGCTGAGGCTGTGAAAAGGGAGGTCGCTTGGGTCACCCAGCTGGGGAGCCATGTGGCTGGAGCTCAAGCCCCGCTCTTCTGACAGCCGGTTGTGGAAAGAGCACAAGGTTTGGAATTGGAACTGGGCATGTACCAAGTAAACCTCAAGCCTCAGTGGCCTCCCCTGTAAAACAGGGACAACACCAGGTGGGGGGCTCAGTAGACAGAGTGCTGAAGCTGAGTTCAAATCCTGTCAGATACTTACTAGCTCTATGACCTGAGGTCAGTCACTTCAGCTCTGTCTTTCTCAGTTTCCTCACCCATAAAATGGGGATAATAATGCTACTTACCTCCAGGGTGGTTGTGAGGTTAAAATTAGATATTTTTCCTTTCTTTCTTTCTTTTTTTTTGGGGGGGGGCCTAGGCAATGGGGTTAAGTGACTTGCCCAGGGTCACACAGCTAGTAAGTGTTATATGTCTGAGGCCGGATTTAAACTCAGGTCCTCCTAACTCCAGGGCCGGTGCTCTATCCACTGTGCTACCTAGTTTGTAAAGTGCTTTGCCAATCTTATAACACCATAGAAATGTGAGATGACGATGATGGTGGTGGATCTCAAAGCATTGAAGGCACAAGTCAGCCTCTCTCTCCCTGCCCTCCCCTCGGATTGGCTGCCAGAGCCTGTGGGGGTCCTTGGGTAGGTCACTGAGAGCCCCTCATTGGGGCTGGCAGCCCAGGGCTAAGCAGGGAGCTTGTGGCCCACTGGCCACTGTCCCCTGCCATGCCCTGCCCTGCCCTGCCCAGTGGCTTTCCATGTCCATGACAGCATCCTTGTCTCCACAGGCCCACGAGCGGTCAGAGAGCACAGAGGTGGCCTTTGTGACCCAGCTGGTGAAGAAACTGATGATCATTGTAGCCCGGCCTGCCCGGCTCCTGGAGTGCCTGGTGAGGGGCCCTTCAAGAGGCCAGGGCACACACTGGGAGGGAGGCGCCATGCGTGGCCAAGGTCACACAGAGCCTGGGCAAAGACATGAGAGGCGGGGACAGCCCAGACAGTCGTAGGTGGACGTGACCCTGGGCACTGCCTGTGGTTTGGGGCAGGGGAGGCCTGAGAGGTGGGACTTGCCATTCTCTACTCTTTTTGGGGCTGGGACCAGCGAGCCCCAAAATGTGCTTGGGGTCTGGTGTCTCATTCTTTCCCCCCCGGCCCTCCAGGAGTTTGACCCTGAGGAGTTTTACCATCTGCTGGAGGCTGCTGAAGGGCATGCCAAGGAGGGCCAGGGGATCAAATGTGACATCCCACGCTATATCATCAGCCAGCTGGGCCTCACGCGGGATCCCCTGGAAGGTGAGTGTCTGCACAGAGGAGGCAAAACCAGGGGATTATGACGTGGTGAGGGCTTCAAGGAAGAGGGGCTGCATTCCCGGCAGGAGGCACAGCCAGTGCAAAGGCACAGAGATGAGAAGTGGAGTGTTGAGCTTAGGAAATGGCAAGAAGTCAAGATTGATCGTAACAGAGCACGTGAAGGGAGGATAGGGGAGGCCTCCCCTGTCCCAGGGAAGTTGATAGGTCATCCTGTTGGGAAGGGGGAGCCATGGATGCTTCACAAGAATGATAACTGGCAGTCATATAGTGCTTTACATGGTATCTCCCCTGATCCTCAGAACATAACGTTGGGAAGTAGGTGCTGTCGTCCCCATTTTATAGATGAGGAAACTAAGGCCCTGAGTTTAAGTGACTTGCCCCGGGTCTGAGGCAGGATTCACACTCTGGTCTTTCTGACTCCAAGGCAGCACCATCCACGCCCCCTTTGGTGGTTGTGTGAAGTGTGGATTGGAAGGGTCCAAGACTGCAGCCAGGAGGTCTTGGAGAAGGGTCTGAGCGGCAGCGGGGGGAGTGGGAAGAAAGGCTGGGTTAGGAGAGAGCTTCTGGAGGTGGGGATGGCACAGTATCTGGTTGGATCAGGGGGCAGAGGGAGTGAGGAGGCGCGGATGCTTAGGTCCCGAGCCCAGGGACACGGAGGATGGTGGCACCTCCACAGTAATAGCGACGTCTGGAAGCAAGAGGGTTTGGGGGAGGTACTGGGGCACATGTACCAAGGTACATGATGAGTTTGAGGGACCTTGGCCACATCCAGTCTAAGGCGTCGAATGGGCCAGCTGGTGAGAGGGAGGAGGAAGCCTGAAGATCCTGCCAAGGAACTCTAGGAGAAGACATCGGGGGAGAGCCCAGGGAGGTGGAAGGGCTCGCAAGGCCCAGGGCTGAGGTGGGCGCCCCCCAAGGGCATGTCTGGGGCTGAGTAGGAAGGTGGAGGCAGCAGTGAGTGGCTCGTGTGTCTGTCATCAGGCCTGAGAATCCTCCTTATGCAGGCATACGTGATTCTGTTCTATAGGGCTGCTGGTGTTTAAAGTGTAGGGATGGTAAATTAGATATGTTGGCTTCCAAGTTGTCCTGCTTCAGCAAGCATTCATGGAGCATTTGTGTGTCCCAGGCCCTGGGGACCCAAGGCAAGGCAAAAACCCGGCCCTTACCCTCAGGGAGAAATACCTGCTATAAATCTAGAGAGAAGAGGGAAGACCCCAGCAAAGGCTTCTTGCAGAAGGCCAAGTCAAGTCAGCAAGCATTGATTTATTTTTAGTTTTAGTTTTCAACAATCAGTTCCGTGTAATTTTGAGTTCTAAATTTTCTCCCCCTCCTTCTCCGCCTCCCTCCCCAAGATGGCACACAGTCTGATATAGGCTCTATATATGTATTCATATTAAACATATTTTCAGATTAGTGATGTTGTAAGGAAGAATTAGAACCAACAGGAGGAACCACCAGAAAGAGGGAACAAAATACAACAGAGGGGAAAAAAACAGCAAATAGTATGCTTTGATCTGCATTCAAACTCCAAAGTTCTTTCTTTGGATGTGGATAGCATTTTTCATCACAAGGCCTTTGGAGATATCTTAGATCCTTGTATTGCTGAGAAGGGCTAAGTCTATCAACGTCAGTCATCGCACAACATGGCTGTTACTATGTACAGCCTTCTCCTGGTTCTGCTCACTTCATTCAGTATCAGTCCATACAGATCTTTTCAGGTTTTTCTGAAGTCTGCCTGCTCATCATTTCTTATAGCACAATAGTATTCCATTACATTCATATACCACAACTTGTTCAGCCATTCCCCAATTGATGGGCATCCTCTCAATTTCCAGTTCTTTGCCACCACAAAAAGAGCTGCTATAAATATTTTTGTACATGTGGGTCCTTTTCCCATTTGTTTGATCTCTTTGGGATACAGCCCTAGAAGTGCTATTGCTGGGTTAAAGGATATGCACAGTTTTATAGCCCTTTGGGCATAGCTCCAAATTGCTCTCCACAATGGTTGGATCATTTCACAACTCCACCACCAATGCATTAGTGTTCCAGTTTTCCCACATCTTCTCCAGCATTTATCATTTTCCTGTTTTGTCATGTTGGCCAATCTGACAGTGTGAGGTGGTACCTCAGAGTTGTTTTGATTTGCATTTATCTAACCCCAATAATGATTTAGAGCATTTTTTCATATGACTAGAGATGGCTTCCATTTCATCTGAAAACTACCTGTTCATATCCTTTGACCACTTATCAATTGGGGAATGACTTTCAGCAAGCATGTATTAAGCACCTTCTGTGTGCTAGACACCAGGAACAGGGTCTGGGATTTGAGCTGAGTGTTGAGGGAAGCCATTAAAACTAGGAGGTGGAGATGAGTGAGGGCATTCCAGGCATGGGGGACAGCCATTGCAAAGGCCCAGAGGTGAGAGATGGAGTTTTGTGTTCAAGGAGCTTCTAGGAGGCCATGGTCATTAGAGAGTGCATAGAAGGAAGCTAAAGTGGGAGAAGGCTGGAAGAGCAGGAAGGAACCAGGTTATAAAGGGCTTCAAAGCCACACAGAGAATTTAGTATTTCATCTTGGAGGGGCGGGGGGTGACCTGGGCACACTTTGGAGTTTAGGAAAGTCACTTTTTGGAGGCTTGGCTGTAGATGGGAGGAGAGAAAGAGAGAGAAGGGGGGTGGCAGGGTCCACAGAAGGAGACCGACACGTTTTAGTTTTCAGCAGGGAAGGAGCAGATGCCCAGGGAGAAATTGACTGAAGAATTGGGCAAGGGGGCGGGGGCGTCTAGGGGCATATTTGTAGAGTCAGTTGGCAAAGAAGAGATGGGGTCAGGTTGGGGTCATGGTCAGTGTGGGGAGAAGCGGACAGGATAAGAAAGGACTAGAGTGTGGGGGAGAGGGACACAGGGGCTCAGAGGAAAAGTGGTCTGCACCTGAACGGGAGGGAGGCCAGCTGGGCTCAAAGGGTGATGACCGAGACAGGAGAAGGGGACCAGGGCAGGGCTGTGTGAGGCTGAGACCGTGAAGGGAGGACAGCGAGGCCAGAGAGAGGGAAACAGATGGAAACAAAGAAAGAAGAGGCCACACAGTGAAGACGACCCAGGACAGTCAAACAGGAAGCCAGCAGGAGGTGGTGTCAGGCAGAGGGGGGCTCTGGCCAGCACTGGTGACCCATCTCATTGAGGAATTGATGGGCTGGGAGGCCTGGCTGTTTCAAGACAGCTGATAAGCATTTATCATAGAAGCCCCTGAGAAGCAGGGCAGGCATTGGAGCAGAGAGGGACGTAGGGAGACGTCTCCTGTCAACCTTGAAAAAGACGAGATGAAGAGGTGGGAGGAGACAACCGCCAGGGTCTGTATGGTGAGGTGGACCTCAGTGCCAGGAGCCTCATAAAGGTGGAAGACAGAGGGCTTGGGTGTGGTGGCTTCCCCTCCTAGCCCAGGGTGTTGGGGCCCTGGGAGGGTGACTCTCTACAACGGAGGCAGGTGTCTAGGAGAACCAGGAGATGGAAATTGTGTGAAGGCTTGAGGTCGAGGACAAGTTGGGGCTCCAGAGGGCATGATAGTATCAGAGAAGCAGGAGGTATGCAACCAAGAGGACTAGGCTGGATGGGGGCAGGGGCAGGGCCTTTTCCTATCACCAGACAGTGATTCTGAAGCCCAGATATACGGGGATGAGGCCTGGGATGGGGAAGGACCAGTAGACTGAGCCCCCATCCTCTGAGTCCCTTGGTGATTATGGGCAGCCTCTCCCTTTCCTTAGCCTCAGTCTTCCAGTGCCAGAGGCCAGAGAGTGGGAGCAGTTGGATTCCTCGTTCTGGGGATACCCAGATGTTGCCCTTTGAGGCATTGCTCCCAGACTAGCCTGGCGTCTGGCTCTGGCCCTGCCTTTGGGAGGCTGGCTGAGGGCGCTTTTCACTTATGGAGGGCAGGATTGTTCTTGGGCGTCATTGCAGCTGGGCCACACGGGGAAGGCGCCCCCAGGGAGTCACCTTTGAACTGGCCTGCAGGGAGGTGATGTCCAGGATAGTCCCAGGCCAGTGGATGCTGAGAGGGCTGCTGCTGGGTGATGGCTGGGCTTCTCGGAGGGAGGGACCGCAGCAGTCAAGAGAGATGCCTCCCAGGACAGTGAGAAAGCTGGTGGCCTTGGGCCTGGGAGCCAGATGCCATTTGCCCTGGGATGAATGGGAATCCCCCAGTACCAGCCTGGTCATGTTGCCGTGCGTCCTGGGCCTCCCGGAGCTAGGCCGGAGGCTTGTGGCTGCTCACTGAGTGCCTGAGCTAATAGGCTTCCATGTCTTCCTGGCCTCCCCCTCCTCCCATGAACCCAGACCTGTTGGCTCTTGGTGGGGAAGGTCCCAGGTTAGCTCCAGGGGCAGCTTCTGTGTGGGCAGAACCTGTCCAGATCAGGGAAAGGCACCTCAGTGGGAATTGAAGTCTGCAGCTGCTTCCCACCTCCCACCAGACTTCCTCCCATGGGCAGTGGGCTGTGTGGTTTGACTCTAAACAGATTCAGCTCTGTCTGTGCTGAAGAGGAGCCTGTGGGTGGGCTGGGCCCTGGGAACATACATGAGCCTCACTCTCACTCAAGCCTGTGTCTCCCCCCCTCCCTCCCTCTTCAGAAATGGCCCAGCTGAACAGCTACGACAGCCCAGACACTCCTGAGACAGATGACTCAGTTGAGGTAATGATCTTTGGGGTGACCCTGCCTGCCCCCTTGTCCTGGAGCCCTGGCCTAGGTTGCTGAGTAGCCAGAGGCTCAGCAGGGTGGGGCCAAGAGAGGAATCATAGATTCAGAGATGAAAGGGACTTCATTCCAACCCTGCCTGTTTTACCGAAGGGGAAACTGAGTCTGAGAGAGGTCAAATGATTTGCCCAGGGTCACACAGCTCATAAGTGTCTGAAGCAGGATTTGAATGCAGGTCTTCCTGACCCTAGCTGCTCTGCCATACCACCTCTTACGGCCCCTGGATACCTTTCTGAAATGAATCCCTCCCAACAAAGCAGCTTGATGCTAGAACGAGGGGCATGGCCACATCCCACGTGACACATGCGACATGTCTCTTGTCTCGGGGGGAGTGGTGCTTGGTATAAATGAACGAATGAGTGAGTGAACGAATGAGTGAATGAACGAGTGAATGAGTGAATGAATGAATGGGCAAGCTTTATCAAGCACCTTCCATGCACAAAGCTGTCTGCTAGGCACTGAGAATACAAATGGAAAAGTCAGGCAATTCCTTCTTTTGAGGCTCTGGAGTTAGGAGTACAGCCCTTAAAGAAGGATTCCACTGCAGGTCCGGTGGGCGGTGGGGCTGTGGGGCTGTGGGCCTGCCTTGCATCTTTACCCAAAACATCATGGTTGGGGGTGAGGGGTGTGAGCAGCTGAGGCCTCCCTTGGGCACACTGCCTCCTGAAGCAGGTGGATGGATCAGGTTTTGAGAAAAGCCAAAGCATGCTGTTTTTTTTTTCCTCTTCCCTTGCAGGGCCGAGGGGCTGTTTTGCAGCCCAAGAAGACACCATCTGAAGATGAGTTTGAGACAATCAAGCTGATCAGCAATGGGGCCTATGGGTAAGGACCCTGCCCTGGTGCCCCTGCCCCTGCCCCTGGCATGGACCGAGCCCAGCACCAGTGCGCTTTAGACAGGACTGGGGTACTCTAACATTGCATGGACAGACCCAGGCCCTGGTGTTAGGGACGTGCTCCAGAGGGTCTTACCAGGCTTAGATTCTCGGGGGGAGAGGGGGCCAGCCGGGTCTGCAGGCCGTGTGGCGCTTCCCCTTAGCCTGTGATGTCCTGGGCTGAGCCCTGGAGGGGCAGAGACCTGTGAGCTGTCAGAAGGGTTTGAGGCTGCAGCGCTTGGTGTGATCGATGCTTCTGGCCCTCTCTGAAGTCCTCACCAGCCAGCCCTTTAAGAAGATGTCTTAGGAGTTTTCCTGGAATTGAGGCCCAGAGACTTTTGGGACACCCCATATTGGTGTTGATAATGCTGTTTACCAGTCAGTGCACAAACACTGCTTTAGCACTTCCTGCGTGCCAGGCTTTGTGCCCAGTGCCCAGAGTGGCCTTGTTGCCCCTCCTTGGAGGACAAGCCCTTTGTGAACAGAACCGACTCTTTCATCGCACGGTGCTCAGCGTGTAGTAGGTGCTTCATCAGTGTTTTTCGGCTCTGGGGCCCAGACCCGGGCTTGTGACTCGGATTGCTTTGCCTGCCCGTCGCCCCTCCCCGGCCCGAGGATCCCGAGGAGCCCCTGCCTTCTGGGGCGGGGTGGGGCGGTGTCATCCCGCTGAGGCCACGTCGTGCCTTGCAGGGCCGTGTTCCTGGTACGCCACAGGTCCACCCGCCAGCGCTTTGCCATGAAGAAGGTCAACAAGCAAAACCTCATCCTGCGCAACCAGATCCAGCAGGCGTTCGTGGAGCGTGACATCCTCACTTTCGCTGAGAACCCCTTTGTCGTCAGCATGTTCTGCTCCTTTGAGACCAGGCGCCACCTGTGCATGGTCATGGAGTACGTGGAAGGTAGGGGGCCTCGCCGGAGCCAGTGCAGACCAGAGGGGTGGCCTCCTGGAGCTCGGAGTACGTCGGGGCTGTCAGGTCAGGTGGCGGCCCCGGTGGCAGCCCCAGACGGGAGGTCGGTCCAGGGGAGGAAGAGACGATGGGACTGGGCACCAGCTTATGTGTGGGCCAAGGGGTGGTGACGGGAGCCACAGCAGTGCCCTCAGCAGTCGGAGGGGAGCCGGGGAGCTCAGCTGGGGACAGACTGGGTTTGAGACCCAGAGAGAGGCCGGTGGGTGACGTGGGGCTGGATTCCCATTGTCTCCTGGAGATGGTGCAAGCCCAGGGGAGCTGCTGGGGTCTCCCCAGAGGGCGGCAAGCTTTGCCTTTTGTATCATTTTGTTGAACAGAGGAGCCGGAGAGGTAGAAGAGCCAGGGGAGGGTCCAGCTCCAGGAGGCAAGTGGTCAGTGGGTCAGTGAGGTCAAGAGGTCAAGGGTCATGTGTCCTAGAAAAAGTGTTCAGCTTTTGATGTGGGAAAGGGAAGCATTTCTGCAGCCCCTCGTGCGTGTGTGGCACTTTACAGACATTGCCTCATTTGTTCCCTCCAGCAACCCTGCAAGGTAGATGCTGTTATCATCCTCATTTTACAGATGAGGAAACTGAAGCAAACAGAGATTGTGACTTGCCCAAGGTCACACAGCTAGGAAGGGTCCGAGACTGGATTTGAACTCAGGCCTTGCAGATTCCAGGCGCGTTGTTCTATCCACTGTACCACCTAGCTGCCTCAAAATAACTAACACTTATATGGCACCTACTACATACCACACACTGGGCTAAGAGCAGGTATTATCTCGTTTTGCTGTCACAACAACCCTGGGTGGTAGGCACTGTTATTATCTCCGTTTTACAGTTGAAGAAGCCGAAGCAGGCAGAGGTTAACTAACTTGCCTCGCGTCATGCAGCTAGGAAGGGTTTAAGGGCAGATTTTCACTCGGGTCTTCCTGACTTCAGCCTGACACTCTCTCCACTGCCCCATCAGATACCCCTCTCCACGTGTGGCCCAGAGAGAGCCAAGGAGGCTGTTCCCGAGGAATGGGTCTTTGCTAGGTCCTGTGCTCAGCCCAGAGAGGGCACCCGAGGAAGGCTACCAGTCCCTGTCATAGCCAAGCTTTGTTTAGCCTGGGAGGTGTCAAAGCTGCTGTGGGCGCTGTCATTGCAGGGGGCGACTGTGCCACACTGCTGAAGAACATTGGGGCCCTGCCCGTCGACATGGCACGCATGTACTTTGCTGAGACCGTGCTGGCGTTGGAATATCTGCACAACTATGGCATTGTGCACCGGGACCTCAAGCCTGACAAGTAAGGAGCCTCTGGGGGGCTGCCTCCAGCCTGCTGCAGTCCAGCAGCCGGCCACTCTTCAGGCCTCTGCACAGGCTGGCCCTGAACGGACTCCTGCCTGCTGGGCTTGGCCGCTACGAGCAGGCCGTCGTCTGTCGGCTGCCACGACTGCTCCTGGGCCCCTTCATACCCACGTTGGGAGCTGGGCATAGCTGCACAGCTGGGCGCCCGCATGGGGTGGGGTGTTGCAGGTGGGGGGGTGGGGTGCAGGGCAGGGGAAGGCCTGAGCCAGGTTTGTTTCTTTGTCTTCAGCCTCCTGATAACATCCATGGGTCACATCAAACTGACCGACTTTGGGCTCTCCAAAATAGGCCTCATGAGCCTGACCACAAACCTGTACGAGGGCCACATTGAGAAGGACGCCCGGGAGTTCCTGGACAAGCAGGTGAGTAGCTCTGGGATGCCCTGCCACAGCCGGCCTGGCTCGGGCTGCCTGCTGAGGAGGAAGATGGGGGAGGAGAGGGCCCGAGGCCCTGGACGGGGTGGGGCGCAGGGACCCCACCTGAGAAGTCCCATAGGACAAAACTCTGAAGCTTGGACTCCCAGAGAGCTCCTTAGTGCTCTGAGCGGATGAGTGACTTGTCAGGATGTGTGAATGACAGAGCTTGGGGCCAGCTCACCTCCCACCACACTGGGCTGCCTCTCATGCCATGCCTTGAAACCTAGTAAAACACTCAGCCTGGGGGCAGCCTCTTCATCCCTGCTGTGCAGACCTGTGATATAGGCAGTGTGAGGCCCTGTGCCTCTTGGTGGAGGGGTGGGGTGGGGGAGTGGTTCTGTGACTCACTCCTGGTCAAACACTGAGCAAGTAGAGGGCACAGAAGGGTCTCCAGCGGATGCCTAGTGGGGAAGAGGAGGGGGAACCAGGCTCTAAAACTGTCTTGTTGGGCAAGAGCATTGGGTCCGGTAATAAGGGGAAATTTAGTAGGAATAAGTCAAAAGTTCAGCCTTTGGCCTTCATGGTTCTTCACAAACACCAGATGGGGGGGTGGGGTGTGCCCACGGGGGGGCAGAGGGGGGCTTTGTGGACTGCAGGCTCCCTAGGACTTAGCAGTATGATGTGGTCCCAGGCCACTTTGCCCTGGCCTGAGCCCATGGGGGGTACTGTGGATGGTGCTGGGAATGAATAACTGGAAGGGCATCTGGAGAAGGCAAACAGGGCAGGAAAGGGCCAGGCTTAGAGGCTCCTAGCTAACTTAGACCCTCCGGCCTGTGGGAGAAGCTTCTGGACCTGTTCTGCCTTTCTCCCAGGGCAGAGCCAGGAGCATGGGGCAGGAGCTGCAAAAAGGTAAATTAAGGCTCTGCTCCCCAGAGTGGAGGGGGATGCCTGGCTAGGTGTAATGGGCTTCCACACCCTGGACGTCTGCCAGGAAAATGCAGATGTCTGCTTGTCGTGGGTGGGGCGGCGGGTAAAGGGTCCCTGTTTTATGGCAGCTCACAAGGTCTGTGGGGCAGTCAGGGAAGTGACATCCAGGGGATTCTGTGAGGTCTTCCTGAGTGCTAAGCTGGCGCTGTCTCCACTATGCCAAGCTCTAGGTTGCTCTCAGCTTAGGGAGCTCCCAGTTGGGGCACCACGAGGGTTGGTGACTTACCTGTGGTCACACACCAGGACGTGTGTTCAGTTCTTCCTGACTCTGAGGTCAGCCCCTCACCGCCCTCTGCGCCAGCTCTGATTCCAGAGCTCAAACTAGTCTCATAAAAGAATAGAGAGAAGGTTAAGGATTGAAGCCATTTGCATAATCACGGCTATTTGGGGGGGCATCTGTGAAGCAGCTCTTGGTGCCATCTGCACCTGGGGATTAGCTGAGTAGGCGTGTGGAGGCGGGAAGGGGATGCCAGGACCGTGCCATGTGAAACAGGCTCACCACAGACTCGGCCTGAAGCCAGAGCAGGGAGGCTGGGGCTCTGAGGAGCATCATGGGAAAGTCCCATCACTGCACACTCCCTGTGGCAGTGTAGGGTCCTTTCTTTAACAAGGGATACTGGCGGCCTCTCGAGAGGAGACAGCACCTCAAGCCATGGTGGTAGATGGCGAGGCGCTAGCAGGCAGGACCCCAGAACAAAGCACAGCCAGCTTCAAGGAGCCTGGCCTGGTGCAGGGAGGGTGCTCTGAGGGGTCAGTGTTGAACCCAGCCTGTCCCTCTTCCTCCTCCTCAGCCCTTCCCCCTCCCCCACGCATACACACATAGTGCTAACTGAAGTCGGCCGATATTGTGTAAACCTTGATAGACTTTGGGAGCTTAGGTACTGGAATTAGCTTAGGCACCAAGAGGCCCAGTGTCCTAGATAGGCAAGTGACTTGCCCACAGTCTTTCAGTGACTTTGAAAGGGAGTCAGCATTAGAACCCATGTCCCCTTACCCAAGTCCAGGACCTAGCCCCATATGGCTCAGGGAGAGGACTCTCCCATGGGCATTCCAGCTACAGAAACAGTGGGGCATGGGGGCCAGGGCCCTTAACTCACCTGGGCTTGGAGTTGGGAAAGATGAGCTGGTTTGAATCCAGGCACTGAAACGATAATGGGGAGAGCCAGTGTCTGGAGGGTGCTTGAAGGTTTTCCAGGGGCTTTACATGGGATCTCACAAACGTTATTATCCTCATTTTACAGATGAGGAAACTGAGGCCAGCAGAAATTCAGTGACTTGCCCAGGGTCACACAGCTCGGAAGTATCTGAGGCAAGATTTGAACTCGGGTCATTCACTACCTGTGTGACCTGGGGAAAAACATGATCTCTGAGCCCCATTTTCCTTATCCGTAAAACGGGCATAATAATGATAATGTTGATGAAAACCATGATAGTGATTCTTGTCCTCTGCCCAGGTGTGTGGGACCCCAGAGTACATCGCTCCGGAGGTGATCCTGAGACAGGGCTACGGGAAGCCTGTGGACTGGTGGGCCATGGGCGTCATCCTTTACGAATTCCTCGTGGGCTGCGTCCCTTTCTTCGGAGACACCCCCGAGGAGCTGTTTGGACAAGTGATCAGTGGTGGGTTGTGGGCTGCACACCTGGCCCGTGGCCTCCAGCTGGCGTGGGGAGTGGGAGGTGGTCTGGGACAAGGCTGAATGCTGGGCAGCCAACCTGGGGTAGAGCTAGGGGAGACCCAAAGGTGGGTGCCGCCTTGAGGGACCTGCCTTCTGCTTCTGGCATCACCCCCGCACCGCCTCCCACACACGTATCCCTGCTCCTCCTGTCCTCAGATGAGATTGCGTGGCCTGAGGGTGATGACGCCCTCCCTCCTGATGCCCAGGACCTCACCTCCAAGCTGCTGCACCAGAACCCTTTGGAGAGGATGGGCACAGGTAGGCTACAGGTGACAGCCAGGGCTGGGCAGTGAGGGCAAGGGCTTGGCTGTGACCCAGGATGCCAGCCACAAGGCTTGTCTCGTGGACTGCTTTTGCAGAGACCCTGGTCAGTTTGGGGCGCATGTTCCCCTGGCCAGGCCCCAGGGCCTGCAGCTCATGGCCCCTGGTTTCCTTCCCTTTCTGTGCCGGTCTGAGACTGTGGCCGTTCTCTCTCTCCCCTGCCCACACCACATCCCTTTATAGGCAGCGCCAGCGAGGTGAGGCAGCATCGTTTCTTCAAGGACCTGGACTGGACGGGCCTGCTGCGTCAGAAGGCTGAGTTCATTCCACAGCTGGAGTCCGAGGATGACACGAGCTACTTTGACAGTAAGGGGCTGGGGGCCAGGGGTGACCCTGAGCCTGCCTGGTGTCTCCCCTGGGGCTCGGCTTATCCCCACCTTCCAGCCCGTTGGTTGGCGGTGTGACTGCTTCTAGCATCACCCCCCTCCCCTCCCCCCTCGTGGCAGTTTATCCTGACCCTCCAGCCTTTGTCACCCTCTCCATGCCTCCCCCTCGTCTCCTGGGGCTACCCTCTGGGGCCATCTCCTCTGTCCCCCCCGGTCTTCTCTGGAGTACGTCCATGCAGCAGATCCTCCCGTGGCCTGGGCTCACAGCCAGTCCTGACCCGGGTTGCCATCCTCTGGATGGTCTGCAGCTTATCAGTGCTCCCAGAATTGACCACAGCATTCCAGATGTGGGCCTTGATTTCTCTATAACCCAAGTGTAAGACTTGACGTTCATCCCTTTTGAATTTCATCTTGTCAGTCCAGCCTCGTTCTCAAGGGCCTGCCAAGATCCCTCTGGATCCTGACTCATTTGCTGTGTCAGCTCTCTCCCTCCCGACGTTGGCATCTGCCAATCTGTCGAGCTGGTCATCGAGGCCTCTCTGCCAGGCGTTGTGAAAAGCGTGGGATGGTGCTGGGCCAAAGCGCGATCCCTGGGGCTCTCCCCTGGAGACCTTCTGCCCAGTCGGCCACTAAGAACTGGGTCTGACCACTCAGTGATTCCAAATCCATTTTACTGTTCTCCCATCTAGTGTGTTTTTCCAGCATCCTGCCATGCTCCATCCAGCCCCATCCGCAGCACACTCCTCTTACGCTGGGCTAGCAGCCCTCTCCGAGCAGGAGTCATGTGCAGCCTGGCCTTCACCATGTGAGCTGGTGTGAATAGAGCCATGTGGGCTCTTGGGGATCCCTGGCTTCCTAACCATCCAGCCCTTTCGTGACCCTTTCTAGACGTTCCCCAGGAATCAAGGTCATGCTCACCATCTCTAGTTTACAGACTTGATTCTCTTCCCTTTTGGGAAAACTGGGCTGACGTTTGCCTCCCTCCTGGCCCCTCTTTCGTTTCTGCCACCCCTGGCAGTGGCCCAGCCTTCCCCCTTGCCGCCAGCTCTTTTGGGACACAAGGATGTCGTTCACTGGGCCCTCTTGGGGCCACAAGCTCTTCTCTCACCGTCCCCATGTGGGGCATTGGCTGCCCATTAGCTGTTTTATGGATGGGGGCGGGGTGCAGCTCAGGACAACACTAGAAAGTGTTGGAGACAGGATGAGGTCTGGCTCTTCAGACCCTGCGTGCAAGCCCCTCTCCTCTCCCTGTAGCTGCTTCAGATCCTGGCCCCGCTGAGTTGCCAAGCCACCTTTTACTCAGCTCCTGGCTTCCTCTGCCCATCTCACCAGGAGGCCCACCCTGAGTGAGGCCTCGTGCCCAGCCAGGCACATTGGGCAGTCAAACCCCCTTCCTCATCTAAGCTGCCATCATCCAACACTGAGAACCACGCTCTGGTCCACCCCCTTCCCCCTCCCCAGGATACTCCTAGGATTGGGACGGGGACACTTGTTTGCAGCAGGGTGCGATGAGGTGCCCCCAGCCCTTCGGGGCTCCCAGACTCACTGGGGCAGCCCTACACCACCACCCTACCCCGGGGCCTCTGCTGGGAGGGGCGGAACCCTTCCTCAGCCTAGCCTGCCCACGTGTCTGTCCCAGCTCGCTCAGAACGTTACCGACACGTGGATTCGGAGGATGAAGATGATGCCAACGACGATGACCATGTGGAAATCCGTCAGTTTTCTTCATGCTCCCCGAGGTTTAGTAAGGTATGGGTCTTGGGGCATCTCCAGAGGGTCTGGGGCTAGTCAGCCCAGGACTGGGGGTGCCCAGAAGGCACTGGAAGGGGATTCTAGCCTGGTGGGAGCGCAAAGGCAAAGCTGGAGGGGAGAGGAAGGCCTGGCCTGTCTTAGTCTGGAGCCAGCAGCTGTCTCGGGGACTGGGAGAGGTGTGGCCAGGCTCTTGGGCATCCTGGGGCTTAGGGCTAGAAGGGCCCATAGGTATTGGTGGGCCACGGCCCTATTTTTGTACTGGGGATTCGGTGTACGTGTTGACGTCCCCATCCCCACAGCATCAGCTTGTCACCCTCTCCTCAGCACACTTGGCCGTGGTCGCTCCCCCAGAATGGTTCTGCCTCAGGGAGCGCCCCCCTTCTGCTCCTCTGGCTCACCCTTCCGTCTCACCCTCCCAGCTTCCCTTTAATCCCTCGTCCCCTCATCCTGCTGTCTGTCCCGCTTCCCTGGTGGGTGCCACCGTTTGCCTGCGCTGCCCTCACATGAGCTGTAGAACACGTGCTCCTGCGGGGAGCCGTGCAGCCATGTTGGCAGGATCCACAGTGAACGGAAGCTCCCCTGGGCCCTCCGTGCTGCTGGCCATCCTTGCCTTCCGCGTGATTGCTGGGCGCCCCCTTGTCCCCCCGGTTTCCCCGCCGGCCCTCGTTCATCTCCCTCTGCTGCCCCAGCCTCTGTCCCTGACCTCTGCCTGCCCGCCCCATTAGGTGTACAGCAGCCTGGAGAGACTCTCCCTGCTGGAGGAGCGCAGGACCCCACCCCCTACCAAGCGCAGCCTCAGCGAGGAGAAGGAGGACAAGTTGGACGGTCTCAGTGGCCTTCAGGGCAAAGACCGGGGCTGGGTGATCGGCTCCCCTGAAATGTGAGTAGGAGGGCTCGGTGTGGGCGAGGGAGATGATGTGCTGGGCACTCAGGGCTTGGCCAGTTCTGGAAATGCCTTGGGGTGATCCCTAGGGAGGGAGGGAATCCACACCCAGGCTGTGTCTTCCCCTGCAGATTGCGGAAGCGGCTGTCAGTGTCTGAATCCTCCCACACAGAGAGCGACTCCAGCCCCCCTCTTGGGGTGCGGCGGCGCTGTTCAGGGGCACTGGATGCACCCCGTTTCCCAGACGCATCTGACGAGGCAGGAGGCAGCCCCCGGGAGAGCCAGCAGCTGACAGAGGGTGCGGCGTTCCTCACTCCACAGCCCAGAGAGGGTGGGCCCAGGTCCACTCCTGAGCAGCTGGGAGAGCGCAAAGCACAGGGGGACAAGGAGCCAGGTCCGGTGACTGCCTGAACTGCCAGTGTCTTTTCGGGGCGTGGGGCACCTATCAGAGGAGTGCCCTGTGGGTGGGGGGGGGAGGAGATGGGAAGCAGAACTTAGCAGGGGGCTCCTGAGACATTTGTAAGAGTCCCATGGCTCTGTCCCTGGGCTCAGCCCAGCGGCTCTAAAGGTGCCGATCACCAGAGATTGACTGGGGGGTTCTGGTCTCTCACGACTGCCGCTGTAGGTGGGAGTCCTGCGAACGTCTGTGCCCAGCAAGGCCGCCGGAATAGCCATGAAGGCCTGGAAAGCTCCACGCCTAAGGCCATCAGCGACCTGGCCGTGCGGCGGGCACGCCACCGGCTGCTGTCCGGGGAGTCTGGAGATAAGCACACACCCAGGCCTGCCAATAAAGTCATCAAATCGGCCTCAGCCACTGCCCTGTCCCTTCTCATCCCCTCAGGTGAGGGCAGTCCAGGGTCCAGGGCCAGCCCAGGTCTTCTTCCTCCATGTGTCTGTGGGGCCAGCCCAGGTCTTCTTCCTCCATGTGTCTGTGGGTCTATGACCGGAGGGACGCTGTTGTCTGTGCATATGTGTGTGCGTGTGTGCATACGTGTGGGTGTTTGTGCATGTGCCTCTGGACCATAGGAGACCATGAGTAGTGTGACTCTACGTGTGTGTCATGGGGGCTGAGAGCCTGGGGCCTGGACGGCTGGATACCCTCAAGTCTGTGGGAGTGACCGTAACAGCTCAGGGCCTGCCCTGAGTCTGGAGTATGAGCCACTTTCCAGATTGCAGTTGGTGTTTCCTTTTTGTGTTCTTGGCTGTAGATTGCGTGTGTGTGTGTGTGTGTGTGTGTGTGTGTGTGTGTGTGTGTGTGTGTGTGTGTGTGTGTGTGTGTGTGTGGTGATGGCCCTGGGGGCAGGCACTGGCAGCTGGAGCCTGGGGGTAGAAGAGGTGCATGAAGTGGGGGACGGTGAGATAGGAGGGGAGGTGACTTACTGGGCCCATGTTTCTGCTCCAGACCACCACGGATGCTCCCCCTTGGCCAGCCCAATGTCCCCCCACTCCCAGTCATCCAATCCCTCATCCCGGGACTCGTCCCCAAGCAGAGACTTCTCTCCGGCCATCAGCAGCCTGAAGCCGCCCATCGTGATTCACCGAGCTGCCAAGAAGTATGGCTTTACCCTGCGAGCCATCCGGGTCTACATGGGGGACACCGACGTTTACACTGTGCAGCACATAGTCTGGGTATGTCTGTGTGGGCCAGCTGGAGAGTGGGCCGGGCAGCCTTAGTCATCCCAGGCCATCGGGAGACAGAGGAAGCCCAGGGCTCCCAGGGAGAATGAGGCAGGAAAGAGCTCAGAGCTGGTCTCTTGTTGGAGGCAGCACGTGGAGGACGGGGGCCCGGCCAGCGAGGCAGGATTGCGGGAGGGCGATCTCATCACGCATGTCAACGGCGAGCCTGTGCACGGGCTGGTGCATACCGAGGTGGTGGAGTTGATCCTCAAGGTGAGGAAGGGCCTCACCCCTGTGAGCCAGCCTTGGGGGGGGGACTGCAAGGCTTTGGGGAGCTTTTGGGGGACGGGCGCTGGGCCCCCGGGGGTTGGGCTGACTACCGTGAAGCCCTTGATTCTGGCTCACAGGATTCTCCCTGTCTGTGCTTTGAACCCTGTGAAATCTGCTTTCCCCAGATCTAGGGTGCCACACGTCACACTATGGCCAGTGTGAAAGAAAAAGAAGGCTCCACTGTGCCATGGGGGCATCAGCCTTCCCGAGACAATTCATTAGTTATTCTAATAAATTATTCTGAGTATCTCAGCCAAGAGAGACAGAGACAGACAGAAGCAAAGACAGAGAGAGAGAGACAGAGATACAAAGAGACAGGAAGGGTCTCTGCAAAGCTCGCTGTCTGGCCCAGGCTTTTGTCAGCTGAATTTCTCCTCTTCCCAAACAGTCCTCAGAATTCCACGCTATGATGCCGCCTTGCAGCAGGGGTGGGTGACGGCTGACCTCTTCTGAGGCCCCAGGCACTTTCTGGGTCCAGGCTGTTCCCTGAGGAGAGGAGGGGGCTGCCCTCAATGCCTTTGTGGAGACTCGGGGCTTCCCATCCTGGCCTTTGCTCCAGTCTTGTCGCTCGCTGCCCTGATTCTGTCTGCAGGGACAACAGATTCTCCCTCGGTTTAAATCCCTTGCCCCTTTAGAGATAGTTAGGATTTTGGTAAAGGAGAAAAAAGGCTTCAGTGCAGGGCATCATTTTCCTAAAAATGTGGCCCACCAGCTGGTGGCAAAGAGGGCCTGGAGTCAGGAAGACCTGAGTTCAAATCCAGCCTCATGGGCTTACTACTTGTGTGACCCTGGGCAAGTCACTTCACCTCTGTTTGCATCATTTCCCTCATGTAAAATGGGGATAATAACAGCAGCTGCCTCTGAGGATTGTTGTGAGGATCAAATGAGAAGATATTTGTAAGCACTTAGCGCAGGGCCTGGCACGTAGGAGGCGCCCTGTAACATTAGCTACAGTGACGACGGTGGTGATGATGCAGCAGGTATGTGTAGCAGATTCCGCAGGCTGGAGAAGTGCCTGGTTCCTAATATTTCTCCAAGGGGGAGGAGGCTGGCGCATTCCTTCTTTCACCACGTCTTCATCCCCCAGGATTCCCTGATTTCCAGCCTCGCTGCTCCCTGCTTTCGCCTTCTTGATCCTCCATCTTCTGAAGGATGAACCTGCCAGGCAGCCCTGCAGCGGGGGTGTGGCGAGCCGTCTGCCAGACTTTGTCTGTTTTCCTCCCTTCACTTGGGTGGTCTGTAGTCTTCTTCCTTCGCCCTTTCCCCACATGCTCAGCCAGGCCCTTCCTTGCTAGAGTTTACATCTGTCTGTCTGTCTCTGCTTCTGTCTCTCTTTCTCTGTCTCTCTGTCTCTCTTGCTGAGATACTGAGAATAATTCATAAGAATAATTGATAACTGAGCCAGGCCGAGGGTGGCAGCACCATCACATCCCTCTCTGATCGCAGCCTCATAGCTCCCTGAGTGTGATGGCCTCCCAAAGTTAGGAGGCAGCCAGGGGCAGGGCACGCCTGGGTGCTCTATGTGTGACTTGGGTCAGTCACTTCTCCTTTTGGGGGCCTCAGTTTCTTCTTCTCTAAAGTGAGGCCATTGGTTATGATGGTCTCTGAGGCTCCCTCAGCTCGGGCCCTGATCCGATAGGGCCCTTCTTCCCTTTGCCTCTTGAGCTGACCTGCCCCTCCTTGTGCCCATCAGAGCGGGAACAAGGTCTCCATCTCGACAACACCCTTTGAGAACACATCGATCAGAGTGGGCCCTGCACGGAAGGGCAGCCACAGGTCCAAGATGGCCCGAAGAGACAGGAAGAGCAGGGCCAAGGATGGGCCTGAGAGGTGGGTGAGGCCTGGGCACCCGGCCCCCAGACGAGCACACGCACACACATGCACCCTGCATGTCCCACCTCCCCCAGATCTGACTGTTGACCCCTGGGCCCCCTGCCCATACCCACCTGCAGCATCATGGCCCTTCTCTTGGCAGCAGGAAGAGGGGCTCCCTGTTTCGGAAGATCACCAAGCAGGCATCCTTGCTGCACACAAGCCGCAGCCTGTCGTCCCTCAGCCGCTCCCTGTCCTCTGGAGAGAGCGGGCCTGGCTCCCCAACACACGGTCACGGCCACAGCCACAGCCACAGCCTGGCCCCACGCTCTCCAACCCAGGGCTACCGAGGGGCCCCTGAAGCCTCACATTCAGGTACCTGGAAGCTGTACTTTCCCCTTGAGGGGCCCCTGCCTTGGGCCCCACCTTCTCAGAGATCAAGAATGAGCACAGGCCTGGAGCTGGTACCAGAGCCCCCTGTAGCACCACCTTGAGCCGGGGCTGGAGGGGGAGGGGCAGCATCCTGGGTGGGAGATGGGCTGGGCTCCTCTTGTTTCTGAGGCTCTCACTTTCTCTCTCTCACTCTTTCTCCAAAGTAGGTGGAAATTCCTCCCAGAGCAGCTCACCCAGCTCCAGTGTGCCCAACTCTCCAGCTAGCTCTGGCCACATCCGCCCCAGCTCCCTGCATGGCCTGGCCCCCAAGCTGCAGCGGCAGTATCGCTCGCCCCGGCGCAAATCGGCAGGCAGCATCCCCCTGTCCCCCCTGGCACACACTCCGTCACCCACCCCTCAGGCCACCTCTCCCCAGCGATCCCCGTCTCCTCTGCCTGGCCATGCCCTGACCAGCAGCCCTGCAGCCTTCCCAGGAAAGCTGCACTCCTCACCACCCTTGGGCCGGCAGATCTCGAGGCCCAAAAGTGCTGAGCCGCCACGCTCCCCGCTCCTAAAAAGGGTCCAGTCAGCCGAGAAGCTGGGGGCGGCCCTGGGGGCCTCAGAGAAGAAGCTGTCTGCCTCGCGCAAGCCTAGCCTGGACCTGGCCCCCTGTGAGGTCAAGAAGGAGCTGGTGCTGCCCAGTGACCCAGGGGACAAGGCCCCGCTGCCCAAGGCAGCCTCTCGCAGCCTGGGCACCATCCGGCATGACCGAGCCGAGCGCCGGGAGGCCCTGCAGAAGCAGGAGGCCATCCGCGAGGTGGACTCCTCTGAGGATGAGGATGACACGGATGATGATGGCTCTGAGAACAGCCAGGATGGACAAGGCCAGGGGCCCCGCCAGGCCCAAGAGAGTGCCAAAGAAAACCCCCGTGGGCCCCAGGACCCGTGGGGCAGAGCTCGGCCACCCCCAGCGACCCCTGGCATCCCGATGAGGACGCTGGCTGATGAAGCTGCCTCGGGCACCGTGATGCAGCTGGTATCTGGCAAGAGCCAGGCCCCGGGGGCCAAGGCACCCCCGAGTTCCCCTGGTGCTCAGGACTCTCCTCAGGGCTCCTCGAGTTCTGGGGGTCCTTGGGGTGCACCCTCCACAGAGCCCACGCTCCCCCGGGGCGACTCACTTGTAGCACTTTGTCCTTGGCTGTCAGGAAGTCCCCTCCCTTGCCCGGGTCCACGCCCAGTGCAAGCCCCTGGGAGCAGCTCAGGCCCAATCCAGCTCTGGCCTCTGCCCCTGCAAGTGCCCACCCTGCCTGAGGGGGGGCACAGCTGGGACACAGTCTCATCCCAGGCCGCCCTGAGCCTGCAGCCTGGGTCCAAGCTAGAGGGGCCCTCCCCGCCCAGCCAGCCCTGGGCCGCACAGCTCACCAGCCCTTCCCAGCCCCTGGCCCACATCACCCCCAGCCTCAGCCCTGCCCCATGTCCACCTTGGGAGCCCAAGTGCCCCTGGGCAGAGAAGGAGGAACTAGCTTTGAGTAGCACCAAGGTGCCGGATGCTGCTGGTGACAGCAGGCAGGCCCCCCAGTGCAAAGGGCACCTGCAGCCCGCTGGGCATGAGGAGACTGTGCCCCCAAGAGCCCCGCATGAACCTCATGACTGTGCTCTGGAGTGTGATGACCTCCTGAGAAGAACGTAGCTGCCGGGCCTGGGGCCCCAGTCCCTCCCGCCTGTGTAATATATGCTCATGGAAACGACTGGTGTGCCGCTATCTCTGTGGGGAGCAGGGAGAAGGGGGGACCCTGGCAGTAGGCCGTGCCCAGTGCCGGGCCACTGCCCCTGCTGGGGCCCATGAAGCATCCATCTGTGCTAGTCCCAGCCGTCGTGGTCACCAGGGCCAGGCTTGTGGTTGCAGTCTTGTCCCCCTCGAGGCTGTACAGTGCACAGCGCTAGTAGCCATAGGCAGCGACAGGGTGGCCTGGGGATCCCACCCCAAGTGAGTGGAGGCAGGGAGGGCAGCCTCAGCCCTCTCCCTCATCTCCCATGTCCCAAGGGCCTGTTCCTCAGAGCTGCAGGCACTTGGATAGGGGGATGAAGTGTGCGGGCGAGGGGACATGGTTTCCCTGACTCCCATTTGTCTCTCAGGGTTAGCCTGGGCTCTCTGAGCCTTGAGGGAGGTGTAACTGAAAGATGGTGTAGTAGGGTCTGAGCTCCTGGGCTGTCTTAGCAAGAGTGGATGTTGGAGGTGAGGCTGGGGGGGTGGGGGAGAGAAGGTGGTTCTGGACTGAAGCAAAAGCTGCATCCAAGGAGTTGTTCTCTAGGAAGGAAGAGCAGTAGGGGCTCTTCTGGGTGATCCCTGGGTTTAAGGGATTAAGTAAGGCCCCCTCTTGCTGAGTGCAGGGATCTGCTGCATGTCCTGGGTGGGGATGCTCAGGCCCAGCTCTCTGGCCCCTCAGGATGCCCACTGAGCCCCAGCCCCTTCACCCACCTGCCTGTGGCTGTGCAAACTCTTCTGTGAAATATATGTATTTTTTTAAATATGAAAACAAGCAGAGCTTCACGTGGCCCTGGTGCTTATGCCTAGGAGATGGAAAAGGCTGGGGTGGGGGCAGCCGAGGAAGTGAGGGCTTAGGGGCCTTGGGAATCAGCAGCCCAGAGGGACCAGAACTAGCTTCCTAGGAGTCCTGGTTGGCCAAAGGGCAGGACTGGGAACCCCACCACCTTGAGGCTGAGGTTAAGCAACATGGGGAAATCTAACCTTGAACTCTGGGACACTAGAGGGTGGGGAAGGTGTTTTAGTGGGGTGGAGAGGGTGCCCAGTGATCCCCAGAGCTTTCCTAGGGCCTTTAGAAGCGCTCCTCGGGAGGGGGGGCAGAGCTGCTACACACATGAAGTGCCTGTCAAGGGCAAGGCGTTGGGGGGAAGTAGAAAGCTAGGATGAGACCTCCTGCCCCACCACAGCTTACAGACTAAGAGCAGAGTCAGACCCAGGGAAGCATGAAGCACACCAGGGCGTGATCGCTGGGGCCACCCCGGGGATGTGCACTGTGCCCCACCCCCACCCTCGCCCTCCCATGGCCTCACCCTGGGGGAAGTTCTCATGACAATCAGAAGGATTTCGAGAGAACCATTCATGGTAATCCATCTACAGTGTCGTTCTTGGCCCTCCTCTCATGTATTCCTTTACGGTGTGTGCTGCAGCCCCCACTCCCCACCGTACACCTCTCCATTCTAGTTCTGAGACTGTTGTGTGACTCGTTGGCCGTGTGCACTGCCGGCAGAGAAAAACAGAATGGAGTGCATAAAAGGACTTGGCGTTTTCCCCAAAGCATCTGGCCCTTTCTCTTCCTCCTTCCTTTTCCCCGTCTTTCTGGGCCCAGCAGAATTTTAGCATCTGCCCAAGACACGTGCAGATGGATGAGCACATCCCAGTCTGGGCACCAAACTTACTCCACTTGGTCTGTCCCATGTGGATGGTTATGCCCCACCCTGGAGTGGCCACAGGGCTGGGGTGGGAGCTTCAGCCACAGTCTAGGGAAGGATGCTGCCTGCAGGCAGGCATCCAGACAGACTGCTTGGATGTGGACTCAGGGTTGGGCTTCCTCCAGGAGATCAGTCTCCCCAGATAGTAACAATCAGGGTCATCCAACAGGGTTGTTCCTGTTCTGTCAAGGGTTCTTGAGGGGCCATTTGTAAAATGGCCCTTGGCTCCAACCCCTTTATCCAGATGCTCTGCAGGCTTGTGGCTTGCCCCATTGTTACAGCTGGCAACTGTCTGAGGCAGGTGGTGAGCTCGCGGTTCCGTAATGCCAAGCCAGGGCCTCTGTCCTCTATGCCATGTTGCCTTTTCTCCTTTATGCCAGGCGCTGTGCAGAGGGCTGGGGATTCAGAGATAGAAGTGAAGCTGTTCTGCTCTCAAGGGGGCTCCTGTTCAAATGGAGAAGACAACGTATTTAGACAAAGTTCAAGGTTTTTAGGGAGCTGCAACACCGATGTCTCTGGCTGGGGGTAAGGGTGGTAAGTTCCTCATAGAAGGGGGTGCTTGAGTCTTGAAGAAAGAGATTCCATGAGGCAGAGGGGAAGAGAGAGGCAATTCCAGGCATAGGGGACAGCCTGTGCAAAAGCGTGGAGACTGGCCAGTACCTGGCACCGCAGGGTCTTGCATTTTCCTCAGCTTTCAGCCAGAGGCAAAGGGGAGGGGGAAAGGCTGGTGGAAGCCTGTCTGCTCCTCTTTGAGCCCGTAGTGATCAAAGGCGTCCTCCAACCTGAAGGTGGAAAACTAGACACGCACTTGGGTGTCTTAATAATCACTCAGTTGTCTTTTTCAGTAATAATACTTGAGATTGGGGCAGCTAGGTGGTGCAGTGGATAGAGCACCAGCTCTGGAGTCAGGAGGACCTGAGTTCAAATCCAGCCTCTGATACTAGCTGTGTGACCCTGGGCAAGTCGCTTAACCCCAGTTGCCTCCAAAAAATAATACTTGAGATTGTGCATCCTCTGCTGCTACCTGTGATATCTCCTCAAGGTCTCTGGAGAATTGATCTCTCCTCTCCTCACCTCCCAACCTCTGTGCCCGCGGGGTTTGATCCAGCCACTCTCTGTTTTCTCTATTGTCACTTGACCCAGTCTGTGGGGATGGTGAAGCCAGTCTGTATGGGGTGTGTCCACCATGCTTGATCAAGGGAGATGTTTCTTATAGAAGCACGGAGCCAGGGGCCACCGTAGGCTCCAGGGGAGGCTTCGGGCAGGACCAGAGCCTGGGGCCAGCCATCAGGCTGAAGTGACTTGTGGGGACAGAGCAGGAGTAATGGCGGGTCCCGAGAATGAACGGTGCTCGATAGGACACAGGAGTCTTCTTTGGAGTCTGGTGTTTGTCCTTTTCTGAGTCTTCCACTGGATGGTCTGCTAAGTTCTTCAAGAATGTAGTTCCCCATGAGAGGCTTGGGTCCCATTCTTGGGCCTACGGTGACTGCCAGGATCGAAGGAAGGCACGTTCCTCAGATCCTGACCGTGGTAGCAGAGCAGTGAGGGTTGGCACTTGGGAGGGAACCATAGCATGCTTCCTGAAGCATTACCCAGCTTCCTCTTTGCCAGGCACTGTGCTAACTAAAGACAAAAGCAGGACAGTCCCTGCCTTCCCGGAGTTTACTTTCTAAGCTCCTTGGAACAATAGAATCCTTTTATCTCATTTGTCAACCACTGTGTCCTGGAGGTCCATAGGACATGCCCATGCCTGTAAGCACGCCTCCTTGTAAGGTCTTGGTGGTACTGCCCCAAGCTGGGACCCCAAAAGAGTTGCCAAACCCAGAACGTTGGTTTTCCCTTTCCTCCCGTCTCAGTAGTCTCCTGCTCCTAAGCTGTCGTTTTTGTATGGTGATAGTAACTTAATATATAATTAGATTATCCCTCAGAAAGGCAAGCCAAATGGGTGGCCAGGGTGACTTGGCCTGGTTCTGCAGGATAGCTTGGAATCCCAATAGTGTGTAAACTCAAAAGAAGCTGTGATGGGAAGACTGTCCTAGTGGAAGCCCATCTGTGCTCTCCCCAATGAGTGAGTGTGGGCGGGGACTTCAGAGAGAAGTGCAGCTCCTTCTGTGGGTTTAGCTGTGTTCAAATAAATGTGTTTTACTCGTAAACTTGAACTGTCATTTTTAAGGTGTATGCTATAAACTGTCAAACATAATTTGGGGAAATGACTTTTTTTTTTTGGTAATGTGGATCCAAAAATGGGGAGGAGAATAATTTTTCAGAAAGCAGTCTTTGGACTTTCATTAAAGACTCCAACTTTGTGTCCAGGGTAGTGGGGAATCCCAGAGTGAGACAAGCCGGGTCAAACATAGAGCTCTAGGGAAGAGCCCTCATAGGACTGTCAGAGTTAATGGATGGCAGATTCCTGAACAGCCTACAGGGGAATAAAATGACTTTTAGGGATATACCAAGGACTCGACTGCTTTCCTTTCTCTGTCATGGGGCCCATAAGAGGGTGGTACGGGGAACAGAAGACCAGGCTCTCTGAGGTCAGCCCCAAACCCCTGCCATTTGCCAAGAGATGACATTATAATAAGTATCAATACATTAAGATCTAACCTGGAATACTAGCTGGGTGATTCTAGGCAGGTCACAACTGCTATCTGCCTCAGTTTTCCTGTCTGTAAAATAGGGATGAGAATGTTAGCTAGTGGGGCAGCTAGGTGGCACAGTGGATAGAGCACAGGCCCTGGAGTCAGGAGGACCTGAGTTCAAATCTAATCTGCCCTCAGATACTTGACACCAGCTGTGTGACCTTGGGCAAGTCATTTAACCCCAACTGCCTCACTTAAAAAAAATGTTATTTACCTCTAAGGGTTTTCATGAGGATCCAATGAGATCATATTTGTAAAGTGCTTTGCAAACCTTAAAACTCTATATAAATATTCTTGTTGACAGAGCTCCAATCACTGTTCTGGTATCTGAGTCTGAGCTTTCATCACATCTCTTCTGGACTACTTCGTTAGTCTCCTAATTGCTGTCTCCACCCCCACTTTCTTTCCTTTCCAATTTGACCTAGCAGCACCCACATTGATATTCCTAAAGGATGGATTTGGCTGTGTCACTCCATTACTGTAAATTCTTTGACACTTCCTGTTGCCTCTAGGATAAAATACAGACTGCTCAACCTGGTACTCAAGGGTCTCCAAAATCTAGTTCCCTTCTGTTTCCAATCTTAGTCCTGTAAATGGACAACTGCTCCCGTCTTACACACCTGCTTTTTCTATTA